TATATATATATATATATGTACAGTGCTGTAAAAATTGACAGTGCTATATAATTTTTTCGAACAGTATATATATATATATATATATATATATATATATATATATATATATATATATACTGCTCAAGAAAATTAAAGGTACACTTTTTAATCTGAGTATAGCATCAAGTCAGTTAAACTCCTGGGATTTTGATCTGGTCAGTTAAATAGTTAAATAGCAGAGGGGGTTGTTAATCAGTTTCAGCTGCTTTGGTGTTAATGAAATTAGCAACAGGTGCACTAGATGGACAACAATGAGGCGACCCCCAAAACAGGAATGGTTTTACAGGTGAAGGCCACTGACATTTTTTTTCCTACTCATCTCTTCTGACTGTTTTTCACTAGCTTTGCATTTGACTAGGGTCAGTGTCACTACTGGTAGCATGAGGCGATAACTGGACCCTACAGAGGTTGCACAGGTAGTCCAACTCCTCCAGGATGGCTCATCAATGCGTGCCATTACCAGAAGGTTTGCTGTGTCTCCCAGCACAGTCTCAAGAGCATGGAGAAGATTCCAGGAGACAGGCAGTTACTCTTGGAGAACTGGACAGGGCTGTAGAAGGTCCTTAACCCATCTGCTCCTTTGTGCAAGGAGGAACAGGATGAGCACTGTAAGAACCATGCAAAATGATCTCCAGCAGGCCACTAGTGTGAATGTCTCTGACCAAACAATCAGGAACAGACTTCATGAAGGTGGCCTGAGGGCCCAACGTCCTCTAGTGGGCCCTTTGCTCACTGCCCGCACCATAGAGCTCGATTGGCATTTGCCATTGACCAGCAGAATTGGCAGGTCCGCTACTGGAGTCCTGTGCTTTTCACAGATGAGAGCAGGTTCACCCTGAGCACATGTGACAGAAGTGAAAGGGTCTGGAAAAGCCGTGGAGAACATTATGCTGCCTGTAACATCATTCAGCATGACCGTTTTGGTGGTGGGTCAGTGATGGTCTGGGGAGGCATATCCATGGAGGGACGCACAGACCTCTACAGGCTAGACATTGGCACCCTGACTGCCAATAGGTATCGGGATGAAATCCTTGGGCCCATTGTCAGACCCTATGCTGGTGCAGTGGGTTCTGGGTTCCTCCTGGTGCACAACAATGCCCGGCCTCATGTGGTGAGAGTATGCAGGCAGTTCCTGGAGGATGAAGGAATTGATACCACTAAATGGCCCCCACACTTGCCTGACCTAAATCCAATAGAACACCTCTGAGATATCATGTTTCAGTCCATCGGAAGCTGCCAGGTAGCACCTCAGACTGTCCAGGAGCTCAGTGATACCCTGGTCCAGATCTGGGAGTAAATGCCGCAGGACACCATCTGTCGTCTCATTAGGAGCATGCCCTTATGTTGTCAGACATGTATACAAGCACGTGGGGGCCATACAAACTACTGAGCACCATTTTGAGTTTCTGCAATGAAATTTCAGGAAAATGGACTAGCCTGTTGCATAATTTTTTTTCACTTTGATTTTCGGGGTGTCTTTGAATTCAGTCCCCTATAGGTTAATAATTTCCATCAAACAATGGGGTATCCTAACACATTACCCAGTCCATATCACTATAGATATCCAGCATGATATTTTTCCCCATTGAGATCTGATGTGTTTTCACAGTGTTCCTTTAATTTTTTGAGCAGTATATATATTTTTGAGCAGTATATATATAAATTACATTCATATCAGTCCCTAACCCTCAAGGACTGTACAATCTAAGCTCCCTCACTTATGTTCATGCATACACAATCTAGGGCTAATTTAGAAAGGATCCAATTAACCTACTAGCATGTCTTGGAGTGTGGGAGGAAACCATGTACCTGGAGGAAATCCACACAGGCAGAACATACAAACTCAAGGCAGGGGGTGCCATGGTTGGGATTCGAACCAATGACCCTAGTGCTGCCAGGCAGAAGTGCTAACCATTTAGCCACTGTGCTGCCTGTTGTTATGGGTTCTAAGCAAAACAAGGGAGTTTGAGATTTATGGCCCTGACAAATTTATATGTAGATTCACCCAGAAGTGCTTTTTTGAACCATAATGTACTGCATGGCATTTAAACTATGGCCAGCAAGCTTAGAAGGGTCAATAATTGTGGTTGTGGTCAGTGGTCATTTTTAGCTGTTTTTGCTTGTTTTTTTTTTCTTTTCTTGCTTTTTTTTGTTTCAAAACACTTAGCCTGGATGGTTTGGGTTTTTATTTTTTGTTGTTAAGGCCTTTTTAAGTTTGGGATGCTCAAAGCAAAACATTTACTTGCTAGTGACCATCTGTTTTTGGAGCTGCCTTTTCTTCGTAGCATGCTAGGTTTCTGTCTTTGCTATCTATATGCAGGGACAAACGTACAAGAAAAAACAATAACTTAAATGAAAAGTTTTAAATATAATATGGATGTGTAAAATATAAAATTTGCAAAAGATTGTATGTACCTGCCACAAACAGAACACAACCTCCAGTCTTTGACAGTGAATATCATCCTTCAGACTGCCTCTCTAGTATGTTTATCCATTGAAGGAAAATTTGAGAAAAGATGGATTGCCTTTGGCTGTAGAACACTACGCCTAACTTAAAAAACACACACCTGTTTTGGGTTTACTGGTTTCAAGAAGCACTGTCTGATGTGAACCATGCCTCGCAGAAAAAGAGCTCTCAGAAGACCTACGCTCAAGAATTGTTGACTTGCATGAAGCTGGAAAGGGTTACAAAAGTATCTACAAAAGCCTTGATGTTCATGTGTCCACGGTAAGACAGACTGTCTACAAATGGAGAAAGTTTAGCACTGTTGCTACTCTCCCTAGGCGTGGTCGTCCTGTAAAAATTACTGCAAGAGCACAGCGCAGAATGCTGCATGAGGTAAAGAAGAATCCCAGAGTGTCAGCTAAAGACCTACAGAAATCTCTGGCACATGCTAACATTTTTGTTGACACATCTACAATAAGGAAAACATTAAACAAGAATGGGGTACATGGGAGGACACCACGGAGGAAGCCATTGCTGTCCAAAAAGAATATTGCAGCACGTTTGAAGTTTGCAAAAGAGCACCTGGATGTTCCACAGCACTACTGGCAAAATATACTGTGGACAGATGAAACCAAGATTGAGTTGTTTGGGAAGAACACACAACACTATGTGTGGAGAAAAAAAGGCACAGCAAACCAACATCCCCACTGTAAAACATGGCGGAGGGAGCATCATGGTTTGGGGCTGCTTTGCTGCCTCAGGGCCTGGACGGATTGTTGTCATTGATGGGAAAATTAATTCCAGAGTTTATCAAGACATTTTGCAGGAAAACATACAACCATCTGTCCGCCAACTGAAGCTCCGCAGAGGATGGGTGATGCAACAGGACAATGACCCAAAGCATACAAGTAATTTAACAAAACAATGGCTGCAACAGCACAGAATACGCCTTCTGGAGTGGCCCAGTCAGAGTCCTGACCTCAACCCGATTGAAATGCTGTGGCATGACCTTAAGAGAGTGATTCACACCAGACATCCCAAGAATATTGCTACATTGAAACAGTTTGTGAAGAGGAGTGGTCCAAAATGACTCCAGATCGTTGTGCAGGTCTGATCTGCAACTACAGGAAACGTTTGGTTGAGGTTATTGCTGCCAAAGGAGGGTCAACCAGTTATTAAGTCCAAAGGTTCACATACTTTTTCCTCCCTACACTGTGAATGTTTACATGTTATGTGCAATTAAACCATGGCAACATCTAATGTTTGTGTAGTATTATGTTCAGCAGACTGTGTTCTTCTATTGTTGTGACTTAGATGACGTTCAGAGCACATTTTTCTGCCCAATTCATGCAAAACTCCACGTAATCCAAAGGGGTTAACATACTTTTTCTTGCAACTGCACTTGGTGTAGCACAGGCCATAAACCTGCAGAAAGGGTGATTTTTATGAACTGGTTGGGAGCAGCTACAGAGCTATCAGTTTTTCCAAGCTGGCATTAAGATACTGGGCATGGTGGTCATTTGGGGACACTTTTTTTTTTTTTGAGTTTCAGCAACTCATATATTACAAAAGAACCACATTGCAGAGCTCTCTGGACCAGCCCTGAGAATAGTAATGGCCTCTAATTCCTGCAGGCAAATGGCTGCTCTGTGCCTAAAAGGTGTAGGAGAGAAGAAGGAAAAATAAATAATAGCAGCACTTGCAAGCAAGTAGTTTCTCTACACCTAGAAAGAGTAGAGAAGAAGGAGGAGTAGGGCACATTAGCAGTACTTTGCAAGCAAGTGACTGCTCTGGAATTATTAAGAGCAGAAAGGCTTTATGTGCCACTTTACTATCTCTTTCATGTGCTCTAACTGTATAGAACTGACACTTTGAGCTAGAAAAGGTAGAAGCCTGACCACCACTTTGCCCTGCAGGACCCCTACTAGCTCAGTACCTCTGCCTCACACTTTAGGCAAAATTTAACCATTTCAAGTCCGGACACTTTTAGCCCCTTCCAGTCCAGGCCAATTTTCAGCTTTCAGCGCTGTCACACTTTAAATGACAATTGCGCGGTCATGCAACACTGTACCCATATGAATTGTTTAGCATTTTTTGAGACAGATAAAACTTTATTTTGGTGGTATTTATTCACCACTGGGATTTTTTTTTTTTTTTTGCTATATAAATGAAAATCCAAAAATTTTGAAAAAAGTCCAAACATTTTGCAAAAAAAAGTGTTTTTCTTATAACAACTTTTTAGTAAAAAGAAATAACACAAATTAGTTTATAACCAAAAATTATAATTTTTCAAAAAATGTTTTTACATTTTTATTTAATTTTTGTATATTTATATTTATGTATTTTTTGTACATACTGTCACCTTAGCAGTACAGTGTCACCATAGCGACACTGTACTACTTGTGGGGGGTGATGAAGATTTTTTTTTTTTACACTGATTGCTTTTGCGCCCATAAAGGCTGTAAAAGCAATAATTTCTCTTTCTCTTGGCTGCATTGTTGCAGCCGTTGAGAAATACAGTGAGAGCTGTGATTGTTCACAGCTTGTCACATGGTACAAGGCTGTTGTGAATAGCCTTGTACCATGTGATCTCTGTGATCATTCACAGATTTTACACGTAGTAAGCAATGATGTCAAAAGTGACATCTTGCTTACTACTATTCATGTAATCACTGATTGGCAAATCAGCGATCACATGATCGGGACCTCACACAGAGGTCCCGTACAGTGATCCGGAGGACACTGGATCGCTGTCACATGCGCTCCCAGGGAGCTTGCACAGGCTAAAATGGCAGGCGCCATTTAAGAACGTCCCCTGCACTGCTCCCATCCAGCCGTTTATACACATGGGCCAGAAGGGAAGTGGTTCAACTTTGGACTTTGGAACATGTTACATGTTCCAGCATCTGCAGCCTCTCCCCCCTTAGTGTGACAGCGAATAGGGGATCCTCTGCCTGCACCCACTGTCACAATTTGAAACCAGTTTGGCCACTTTCCTGTTAATGAATGACATTGAGGCTAACAGTTTGTAGTTCTCAATGAACTGCGAGGGGCGCTGATGAGTTCTCTAGTAGTTCATTGATCTTCCTGTTTTTAAGTAACTGCTTGCCCGTATGAAGTACGGGCAGACAGTCTATGCTGAGAGTCTGCTGGAGGAGATTGCACTCGTAATCTGCTAGTCATGGGTGCAATGCACTGCAGGCCTCTTTGAAACCTGGCAAAAAAAATGTGCATTTATTTGAATTTCCACCTATCTATTCTGCCATTAATGGATAAGATCATCTTTTAAAAAAAAACGAAGAAAATATTCAATTGGCTGCTGAGGATTTGCGATTTGGGATAGAGTACAGGAAATGTAGGGATGTGATTTTGAAATGTTTTTGTTCTCTCTGTTTTTACACTTTACAGTTGGCACCTAAACGCTTAGAACAGCGCAGTGTGGTACTCTGAAATAATAAGCTCACAAACTGTACTATAAACCATGTATCTCTCTTGGATTGTAAGTTCTAACGAGCAGGGCCCTCTGAATCCTCCTGTATGAATTTGTATTGTAATTGTACTGTCTGCCATTATATTGTAAAGCGCTGCGCACACTGTTGGCGCTATATAAATCTTGTATAATAATAATAATGTTGCCACTGGCCACTTTGAATGAAGGTGAGGGCTTTAGCTTTATTTTTTAAGAGTAAACTTTCCTATATCCTTTAAAAACTACCTTAAAAAGCTTTCTTTAAAGTTGAAATTAATCAGATTGGGGTGCTGATGTTGCATTTAGACCAAGCTAAATATAAAAGTTAAAAGAATCAATATCATGTCCAAATTATATGATTCTAGAATATGGTATTACTGAAGCAATCCTTGAAAATTTTACAGTTTTGTGACACCACATGCAGCTTAAAGTCATCTCCCAAGCATGTAATTTAAAAGACTGGTGTTTTTTCCATGCTGCCCTCAAACTCTCATTAAACGGATCCCTCCCTGTTGTATGGTATTTTTAAAATGTTTGTTTTTGCTTTGTTAAATGTCCCCTATGGCACAGCCCAGCTCCCAATTGATACAAGAACAGGTCCAAGATTGTTGAAAAAAGCTTAATTAACCCTCAGGAGCAAATTAAAACCCACAACACCCTTAAAAAACTACTAAAAACATTTAACATTTACTTTTTTCAACAAAGTTTGTAAAATGTTGACATTTTGTCAAAATCTAGTGATTTTTGTAGCATGAAAACTATTTGTTATGCTCATCCTTACTTAAGAAGGACAGTAGCACCCACTGAATGCCAAGCAGTTTTCCTAGACTTGTTAAGTTGTGATTGAGAGAACTAAAAAAATGGATGTAGATATATTAGAGAGACTATTAAGTGTAGTAGGTTTAGGTATGTTGTTAAACATTTTTATAAATTGAAGCTGAAGGGGTGTAGTTAAGCTTTGCGCTGGTAATCTGTACTTAGATTTGATAATTGTCAAAAACCAAAAGGTATCTGCGATTTTCAGACATTCACGTATGTTTTCATGAAGACCTTTTCCCTGGGGAATTACTCTCAATACCAGGAGGGGACAACCATAACCTTGTTTATTGTATTGTGTTGGTGCTGTTGTAAACTAACCACTCTCCCGCCACCCTATAGCAGATATACTGCTACAGGGTGGCAGGGGTGTGCCCAAAATCACATATATATACGTAGTGTTGCATCTCCGGGTAGGATGTGCGCACGACCCATGCACGTGCACTACCCGCACCGCTATTCACGTCCTCGGCTGTCAATCACTGGGTCCCGGACGGTGATTACTCACCATCACCTGGTGATTGAGGGCCATTACCGACGGAAGGGAGAGAAGTGTATGTAAACAATACAGTTCTCTACCTTGTCAGCTCCTGCATGGCTTTGCATAGCACAGCCATACAAAGCAGTGTGCTTACAGTGAAGCACAGACACAGCAGTTAGTAAAACAGCACACAATTAACCCTTGATTGCCGCAGATGTTAACCACTTCCTGCTTTTTATTAGCACTGATCACTGTATTGGTGTTATTGGGGATGTCAGTGACACCAAGTCAGCCCCCTCACTGTCAGAATGTCCCCAGTCACGCTATAAGTCGCTGATCGTCGCCATTACTAGTAAAAATAAAAAAAAAATAAAAATCCCAGTATATATACTGCCATTTGTAAATGCTATCTCTTTCACATGTAAACCAATTAATTTACACATATTGGGATTTTTTTTTAGCAAAGACATGTAGCAGAATACATTTTGACCTAAATTTATGACAAAATTTGATTTTTTAAATTTTTTTACTGCACTTGTTGCACTGATCACTTTATTGGTGTCACTGGGGATGTCAGTGACCCCAAGTCAGTTCTCCCCAGTGTCAGAAAATCCACCGCAGTCTCGAAGTCCCGCAGTCCCGCAGTCTCGCCATAAGTCACTGATCATTGCCATAAGTCGCTGGTTGCCTCCATAAGTTCGCTGATCGCCGCTATTATTGGTATATAAAAAAAAATCCAGTATCTATACCGCCATTTCTAAACGCTATTAACTTTCACGTAAACCAATTAATTTACACTTATTGGGATTTTTTTTTAGCAAAGACATGTAGCAGAATACATTTTGGCCTAAATTTATGACATCATTTGATTTTTAAATATTTTTTTAACTGGATTTGTTGCATTGATCACTGTATTGGTGTCACTGGGGATGTGATGAACCCAAGTCAGCTCCCCCCCAGTGTCAGAATGTCTACCGCAGTCCCGCAGTCCCGCCATAAGTCGCTGATTGCCGCCATAAGTCACTGATTGCCACCATAATTTGCTATTATATTAGTATAAATTAATAAAAAAAATCCATTATTTATACCGCCATTTGTAAATGCTATAACTTTCACGTAAACCAATTAATTTACACGTATGGGGATTTTTTTTTAAAAAGATATGTAGCAGAATACATTTTGACCTAAATTTATGATGAAATTAGATTTTTTTATTTTTTTTACTGCACATGTTTAATCCCTTGGCGCAGGCGCCTCCCGGCCCTTTAAGGGTTCCAGAAGCTGGGAGGCGGGGCAGAATTTTTAGGGTCACGTGACCGCCATGATTTGCTGTCACATGATCGGGAAAGGTCCTGATCGAAAGAGGAGATCGGGACCTTTCCGTGAGTACCGAACGTGTGTGCTGGGAGCGCACAGGGCACGCACTCTCAGCACATATGTTTTTTTTAATAGAACGCAAATGTGCGGCCGCTCGCTCGGCGTCTAGGCCCAGGCGCCAAGAGGTTAATAGCAAAAAGTCAAAAATATTGTTCTATTCTCAAAATTGTCTTTTTTTTTTTTTTTATAGCGCAAAAAATTAAAAATGCACACTATCAAACATTACCGAAAGAAAGTTATATTTGTGGGAAAAAAAAAGGACGTAGATTTAATTTGGGTGCAGCGTTGCATGACCGCACAATTGTCAGTTAAAATAACTCAGCGCCATAACGCAAAAAATGGCCTGGTCAGGAAGGGGGGTAAATCCTCTGGAGGGCAAGTGGTTAATAAAAAAATTAAAGGGAATTTTGTAGCAAAGGTGCTTAAGTGTTCTCAATGACCTTCAACGAGAGGGATGAGACTCAGAAGTGCCATGAACCAACACTGATAACTTTAATGCACCTCTGCTACAAACCAGACAAGGGTCCCTTTCATCTCTACAAGCAGTTTTGTCAGGTACTTTTAACCTTAGCTTTGCTTGGCATTAATGATAAAGTAGGTGATTGCCCTACTCTGCGGTACTCCAGGAATAGCGGTTTTCCATTTCATACAGCACATACTGTATTGTTGCTGTATTGTCTCCCGTTATATTGTAAAGTGCTGAGCAAACTGTTGGCGCTATATAAATCCTGTATAATAATAATAATAATACGGAAAGAAAAACCTTTCCAACACGTTACCAAATGCAGACCGGCATCAAACAATGTATATTTTCTTTTGGCTAATTCACTCAATTAAACAAATGAACACCAAATTGTTAAATTAACTAGTGCAAACAGTTTCAAGGTCTTTGAAAAAATAGATATTTTTTTCTAAAATAAATTTACTGTTTCAGAGACTCTTAAATCTCAATGCTTCAGGATGGATCTGTGTTGTACTATTTCCTGTTCTCATTATATTCTTGGCCACAAAAAAGTGAAATCACTGTAAATCATTCTGACATTTGTGAAATAGCAGCTGAAGAAATTTTATTGTTTTCCAAATTGATTGGCTGACCGCGAAGAACATCTTCAATATCCCTACTTCCTAAGAAAGCACATAACGGAGAGCGAGGAACGCTTTTAATTTGGCATGAAATATTCAGATTATAATTTATCAGTGGTGGGACATCATCCATCCCCAAAGGCTTGCTGGAAACACAGGGGTTCCTGTGTTTGTTTAGGACAAAACTAAGCATTGCTGACTGTGTGATTTGAGCTCAAATTAGACCCCCCCTCCAAATTCAACAAAGGTAATCAATATAGCAGCTGTGACTTGGAACGGCTGGAGTTTTTTAAACTTGAATACAGAAGCTTTTGTAGCCAAATTTACACTGAAGGTTAAACGATACAAATAAACTAAAGTTAAATCTTCATTTGTTGACAGAAGATGGTTTAATGTTTGATAGAACTGCATTGTGTGCAAAGGCTAGTTTACCTTTTGCAGGACTTCAAGATGGAGTGATTCTAGTTATAAGTCTGGCTCTGTGTTTTTATTTAGTACAGTGTAGTAGTAGCCTAAAAGACAGAAGAAACCAGTTTTTATGACAGAATAGTGCTTGGTCAACACTGACTAACCAATGTAAAATGACAGTGATAATGTGTTTGCCTCCCAAGTCCTTCAGGGTTATGATGGCCAATAAAGAATCTGTAAACTCTTGGGCTGCAAACTGGTCACTATTATATATTTCTTTAAAGTGATACTAAAGATAATGTTTTCTAATAACAAGCATGTTATACTGAAGTGATTTGTGTAATGGTTTTTCACAGAGGAACCCCAGTCCTCCTCTTCTTGGGTCCCCTGCCTCCTTTTCCTGCTCCTCCCCCCTGCTGAGTGCCCCCAGAGCAAGCTGCTTGCTATGGGGGCACTCATGCGTGCTCTATCCCGATCCATGCTCTGTGTGGGGCTCAGCCCTGCCCCCCTGCACCTTCCTCATTGGCTGTAACTGAGAGCAGCAGGAGCCAATGGCTCCCACTGCTGTGTCTGAGCCAATTAGGAGAGAGAGAGCTGGGAGAGCCACCGCTCTTGTGGACATTGCTGGATGGAGATCGGGCTCAGGTAAGTATTATGGGGGGCTGAGGGGGCAGCTGTGCACAGAAGGTTTTTTACATTCATGCATAGAATGCTTGAAGGAAAAAAAACCTTCAGTCTTTAGAACCACTGTAAGCTTCAAACTTAAAGTGTTACTAAACCCCGGACCCTGCATTCACTATATCTGGTCTCCCACAGTACACAGAACATGGAAGTGCAATTATTTTTGTAAATATAAACTGCTAAATACCTTTTCTCATCAGCAGTTAGAGCAGTCTTGTGACTTCAGCCGAGCACTGGTTAAAGCTTGTAGGAGTTTTCTTTCTGCTCTAGGAGGATGTGAAAGTCCTGACCCTCTTTTTGGACAGTGCTGATTGGCCCTGTGCTGATCACATACACTCTCCCAAGAAAAAAAAAAAAAAACCTCTCTAGCAATACACACCAAACTGAGCATGTGCATGTGATTACGGATTCAGTCTGTATCGGGTGGTCATGTCAACAAGAGGAGGGGCAGAGAAAAGACATGGTCAAACAGCCTTTTTACACAATGTGGAGGATTACCTCCTCAGGTTCCACAGTGAGTATAACAAGCATGCTTTACATCATGTACAGACTGATTTTACTGTTGTTGGTTTAGTAACACTTTAAAGAACTCCTGTTATTGTTTTTTTTTTTTAACAGTTTGTATTAGTCATGTGAATGCTATCTTTTATTCTTTGTGTTCAAAGGCTGTGGACAAAGATTTATACTGACCTTTTACTGAATCATGACGTATTTGTAGGCAGATGCAGGCTGCAGTACTTCCACCAACCTGAAGGTGGCACTGCACTACCTCTTCAGACTGGTAGAAGTTCATCGGGGAGGAAATTCCTCTTATCTTGTGCTCTCATCTTGAGGGGGACGGTGATCCTGTTGGATGCCAGAGCCCACGAGATTTGGTTAGCCATTTTGATGTAGTACCCTTTAAATTCAGGGGACCAATGTCATTAGTTGTGCCCACAGTGAAACAGAAGGTAAGAAGAGAACTCCAATGAGTAGGGCAAGTGCCGGTGTAGTAATAGGGAGAGATTCTGGGTGAGTAGGGATGTAAAGATTTTCTTTTCAGGGTGTCCACACTGCACTGGTCTTGGACAGACTGCCTTTGGCTGCTATCTTATACCGCAACTGCCTGGTAGAACCCAACATCAGTTAATTTTACTACCACCCTGCCAATGGAGCACTCTTCTGACATAGTCAGACAGTAAGGGGATCTTGTATGGCTGCTGAGTAAAGTCTACATTAGGCCCCAGTCTACATGTTGACAGTAGTATTCCAAAAAATACTGAAAGTTGTGGCTGCCTGAAAAGATACAGGCTAAATTATGGTAGTCTACTGTGTGTTAGCAAGGCATCTGGTAGACTGAATCAGGGAGTGCATATGACCAGGGGCGGACTGACCATTTGGAAACTCTCGGCACTGCCCGAGGGCCCAGGGTCAGTAGGGGGCCCCATGAGATGCCCCTGGTACCTTTTTCATAGGCTTTTTTGAGTTTGGGCAAGGACACAAGTGCCCTATGATCCCCTATTGCCCAGGGGACCCATGAGTTGTCAGTCCCCCTGCATATGACAAACCAAAATCATCTTCATAACATTGGGGGGG